TAGTAATACAATTGTAATTTTTGCTACAATAAATGAATATTTGATTGTAAAAACAATTTTAGTGTGATATGAATGACAATACGAAAAAATATAACATTTAAGCTTCATATAACATAAAGAAAAAACAAAAAAAAATGTTATTCAAAAAATGTCAAATTAGAATGATCACAGTATTTAAATATAGAAGGCCGGAAGAAGCAATCAACCTTGACGGTTCTAAATACAAGATTTATTTTTGTTTTTTCTTTCATTTTCTTCTATTTTCTGTTCTTAAATATACACTATATTAATTTTTAAATATAGTAAAAATTTAGGGTTAGTAAAATAAGTGAAATTTATTAAAATCTTTCAGAAAATTTATATAAAGATCTTTGGAGAAACTCTGCTCTTCACTGTTCTTCGTGAACTTCAAAGGTATAAGGATAAAAGTTAAACAGTGCTACTGTCAGCTGAACTATATTGCAGATTAATATTATAATTATATAAGTGACAGTAAAGATTAGTAACTATGTAATCCAGAAACCAGTTTCATTAACGCCGGAACTACGTTATTTACTAACTCAAATTAATCTTTTATCGAATTGGTGCTATAGTGAATTCAAAAAATTCTTATGAACTTTATGAATTCACATAAGAAAATGGGAAAATTTTAGTTTCCCATTTATAATTTTGCATTGCAGATATTTAAATTTTTATCCTAAAACATAAAATTTTTTACATAACATATACGTAATTTTTCGACTAAAAAAAATCGACCAAATAAGTACGAGTAAATCCTTTCAATTATTAAAATTTAAAAATATCATTCAGTAGTATTCACAGATGGAGCAAGCAAAACAAAATTTTCTAAAAATTTTCTTTAAAATTATAGTCTTTTATTATTTAAATTAATTAATTTTGTAATTTACTAATGAATTAATTACAAAATTTATGGTCAAAATTTAATATTTGCTTTCCATTAAATTATAAGGTTAAGAATTTTGTAAAACTAGTTTTGCATACTTTGCGGGGCTTCAATTTAAATTACAAAATTTCTTGTATTGTTTGACTTAATTGTTTTTGCGTGTTTATTGTTTTGTTTGAAAATAAACAGCTGTTAAAAGTGCAAGGTTTCTCCTGACTTCTGACTAGTGTTTTGTGTTTCACAAGTTTGATATTATTAAAGGAAATAATTTTATTAATTTTAATAGTAATTTTATTTAAGAACATTTTACATGTGTTTTTAAAATTTTAAAGATTCATTTAAATTTTAATTAAAAAATTTTTTATTTGTAATTAAGTTTTAAATAGAAATATTTCCGTATATTTATGCACATAAAAAAAAACAATATTTAGTAAAATTTTTCAAAAAATCCTTTCAAAATTTACGATATTGCTAAATAGGGTAGTCAACTACATAGATGACTAGCGTATTATTAAACTATTAAAATAGTAAAAAGTTTTTAATAAAAACAAATTGGTTTATTGCCTTTAATTTGATTCCTCAATTTCTTCTCGCATTTCAATTAATTTCATTTAATTTTTAATCAAAGTTATTATAAAATATTTATAAGTGTTAATGGAAAAACACTGTGCAACATAATTTTTAAACTTTAATACAGTAGACATCTGTTACAATGAACACAATATAAACACGAACTTTTCATTCTAGTGAACAACTTCTTTATATTGAATATTAAATAAATTAAACTAAAAAGTTGTTCTTAAGATCTTATTGCTCTGAAAATTATTCAGTTGCTTCTTTTAGATGTACTTTTTAATTGAAAATTTTTAAATAAATATTTTCTCTTATATTTTAAAGAGTGAAACCCTCATTTTATCGAAATTAAAGTTTAAATGAACACAATTATGTAACACAATATAAGTTTTACTTTAAAAGACAAAATATTGGTCTTTTTTTTAATTTAATACAAAAAGTCACGTCACAATGAGAAAGGAAATTATAAAAAACAAAAGTTTTGTAAAATTTCTTCACTATTTTGGTTTCTTATAAAAATTCTTGTTCACAGTGTAAGTCAATGCTAAAATTTGCATGTTCACTCGACTGAGAAGTTTCAAAAAATTCCATGTTCACATAAACAGTTTTCTACTGTATTTCAATTAAAGTGGACAGAATAAGAAAACTTTTTTGGGCTGAATTGTGCTGTAAACTTAAAAAAAAAACAAATTTTAAATTAAAAATAAAAAATCCTGTGAAAGTTTACCAAACGTTTAATCTTTTTCATTGTTCTGTATATAATTATTCAAATATTTCTTATATAAAAAAAGGAACAATTAATCAAAACCATAGAAGTCACACAATATATTGATACAAACCACAAGTCATCAACTTTATTTAAAAAGTAGAAAAAAAAATTGTAAAAACAACTTTTAATTTTTTGTATACTGAACTAGCTTTTAATCTCTAATAATTGTATACATATACATATATATGAATAATTAGAATTATACATATATACTAAATTAATGTGCGACTTGCATGACCGATTATGCACATTATATTTTAACTATTATGAGAAAAACAAAAAAAAAAACAAAAATATTTAAATCTATTTTGGAATCTGGCCAAACTAATTTACCAAGAAATAATATAAAAAAAAAAAAACTAATTTTTAATTTAAATTTAAAATTACAAAATAGCTAGTATAAAAATTCAAAAAGGAAAAAAAACCAACAAAAATAATAGGAACAAACTATATTTGTAGTTGCCTTAAAAATTTTCTAGGACGAAATATTGAAATATCAAACACCTTCTATTTTAGTTTTAAAACAGTGACGATAATGACACTGAAATTATAAAAGGCATAATATACAACAAAAAAAAAGAAGATTTGGACATCTTTTGCCTTGTTCTTTTAATTTGAAAAATATATAGCAAGCAAATTTCTTATAAGTATATGTAGATAAGTGCATATGAGTTCTTTTTCTTTTCCTTTTATCCTTTTTCAAATTTTTTCATTTGCACAGATTCCTTTTATTTCTTTATTTCATGCATATTTATTGAAGCATAAGTATATTTTCAAATTTTATACAAAAGAAAATTTATTGTAATTTTCAACAACTTTAAGATAAATGTGCTTTTCTACATTCGTCATTCGAAATTTGGTATATGTAGATAATTTATTTGTCTCCTAATCAAAATTCTTTTGTACACATAAGAATTTCCAATATTTAAAGTATTAAAAACGTATTTTCATTTTTATAGCAAGACCACTTTTATAATCTAGCCACAGATTTTTACCGCCATTACGTTTTTCCATTAAAATGCCTCTTTAATTAGATTTCCTTCATATTCCATATGATGATCACCATTTTCTTACTTGAATTAAACATTGACAGTAATTCACATTGCTAATGCGAGAGTAGAGACAAATACCCCTAAGAAATTTTCGAAATTTTATACCGAAGTTTATCATTTTAAATTTATAATATAAGCATTTTGAAAGAAAAATAAATTTTATAATGCATTTGAATTTTCTTTTTAAAAAAATATATTAAAATTTATAACAATAAGATTGTTAAGAGGTGAAAGATTATTCATTTTGATTTCAAAACAAAGAATTTATATAGATACAAGAAATAAAGAAGAAAATGTTTCAAAAATAAAAACTATACAAGACCAGAAAACTAAAATTTTAAAAATGATTTTTAAATGTATGGAACGATAAACATAAATTTTTCGAATTATAATACTATTATACAAAAACAATATATAGATATTTATTGCCATAATAGTGCTACAATGTCAATTACAAAAGTTTAATAATTATAATAAATCGAAAACTTCAAGCGAATAATATAAAAATTAGAAAAATCATATTTGGGTATTTTTACCATAATGCTTACATTCCACAATATAATTGACAATAGTGTACAAGTGGTTGTAAAATAAAAAATATTAAATGTTATGGTTCCTCTTCGTTTTTTTTGGGAAAAAATTAATTTAAAAAATTTAATTGGATTTATTGTCCAATTATTAGGTTATTCAAGAAAATCATGCATATTAAAAAATTTCCTGATTTGTATGATTGATACAAGCCATGTATGATATGTGCCAACATACAATAATCATTGCATTATTAATTAATAAAAAAAATTGCATACGTCTAGGAAGTTGTTTTTTTTTTCTTACTTTAAGAAATCTATTCAGAAATTGTCGATAAATCCTTTCCCCCGTCTATATATTTTATTTTGCTTGTAGTTTAAACCCTAGAAATCGAAGATCTTAGATATTATATCTAATATAATTTTTGTGAATGTAAAAATGTTATGAAAATAACATATTGTTATGAAAATAAAATTCTTGAAATTGAAATCAAAGAAATAATAGAAGTAGAAATGCATGTTTACTTTAATATGGGGATACTGCAAATACCTCCTATTCATATGACGAAATTCTGCTAACAATTAACCCGTAATTTTACATTACATTAAACAACAGCTTTGCAGAAAGATAACATAGGTTTGCAATTTCACGCATTTCTGGAAGTCAAATATAAAACTAACGCCAAAGACATTAAATGGAATCAAAGATTAAGTATTATTTTGACAATGCAAAATTTTTTTTTGAAAAATATCTCCTAAAATATACCTGTGTGTTTAAAAATCCGTTAGAGTTAATAAAATGGATTTCAAAAACAAACTGGATCACACCAAACACACCAGAGATAAACAGAAATCACACTATAGATTAAATTTCTGAGTTCATGTAAGTATATAGGTACCTACCTAGATACATAATATTGGTCTTTACAAAGATTGAAATAAAAATATCCAAAAAAAAGCAATTTATGTGCAGAATTGCCAATACATTTTTATAATTTTCATTATCCCTTTTCAGAAGCTTGGTCCGGTTCTTAATATTTTTATTATATCAAAAAATACAACCATTTATTTTGGTATGTTCCTAGTTAAAGCAATCAATTAGCTACGAATTCTCATAACACCATTACTGATCTTAAGGTTGGAAATAATTTACCTATCTACTATTTAAATCAAAGTTATCTAAATGCAAAATTGAATAATTTATTTTAACTTTAAATATTAAATTTCCAAAAAATTATAAAAGACGCAAATGTCCAGTCACTTTGTCTAATTCATCGGCTATATCTGGACCTACAGCTAAAACTGTTTTTGTGTTTGGTTCAATTTGAGTGCGTCCTGCATCTCGAATCAAACTTGTTATGAAATTTCTACTTTCAGCAGCTTTTTTGATATCCATTAATTCCTTTTCGCTCTCTACTTTAAGCGCTACTTTTGCACAACCCGTGCATTCCCATTGATTAACAATATCCGGAATCCGTCTTTTTGCTTTTTGATATGCATCCACTGCAGCATGACCACACTGAGCAGCAATCTTACCTACAATTGTAGACAAATTAATGAGATATTTATTTGCAATTTAATTTTACACAAAAATATTTGAAATATCAATAAAAGTTTAGTAATTTAATATTAGACTTCATTTAAATAACATTTCTATTTTATCATAAAATGTAAATGAATAAAAATATGTACATTAAGGAATTTATGACTTAATCAGTAAATTATAAATCCACATATTCGACATAAAAGTGCATATATGTATATGTATACATGTTTATGTATCTAAGTATACGTTTTACCAAATAAGAAATTGAAATATCAATATTTTCTACATTCATGTTACTTTACCTTTGCCCATTTTTAGATCATTTCTTACAATTAAAAGCATTTTATAGTTCCTATTGTCTGGTCGAAACTGTAAATTATATTTATTAGTATGTTATAAATACAAATTTTTACCACAAACCTTTAAAAATTTTCTTCCTTCTGTGTCCACTTTATCTTTGAATTTCAAACCATATTTATATCCTACATAAAAAGATAAGAGAATTGCTATCCCATTTATAAATTGAGATGTTTCCATTATTCTATCTGACATTATTAAAGTTCCTTTATAACACTCCAATAACTTTTCCTTATTTCTAAAAGGAATTTGAATGACTTCACTAACAAAATTTTTACTTTTATGGTAAAAACAAATTAATTTCATTTGCTGTTGTTTTTGCCCATCAAATTAGTTTTGATCCAAAATTTTCTGGCTTTTAATGAACTCAAAACTTGGTGGTATATTTTATTTTTCTGTATTCTATTAAGGTTATGTTTCAAAAAAAGAACAATCCAACCAACCAACTAGCTATTGGATTGAGAAAAGTTCAATTCAAATTGTAGAGAAAAAACATATTGCTCTATTGTCAAAATATAAGAACCACAAGTGTATTACAATTTACAAATCGTATGTGGAACCAATAGGGATGCGCGATTTTTATTCATTTTTTCTAGTCAATGAATTTGCTTCTAATAGATTAATTTGCTGTCATCTACTATTCAACTTGGTCCTTTAAAACGTTGAAAAGCGCGTTGATCAAAGTTGCCACCCACACCACAACATTATTTCATTTTTTTCAAAACTACAGATATGATGTTTTACACAACATACAAAATTACACCCACAAAAATTTAAAATTTTTTAATATTTTTTCAACTAAGTTTCAATCCTTCAAATAATTGAAATGGATCAAAAAAAGTTGATTAAATAGTCCACTAAAAGTTCGACGCGCTGAAAACTTGTGTTTTCGACGTGTTGAGAGACCAATTCGAATGAACTAAAACTATATTCGTAAGATTTTTTATTTCAACTGGCAATATCAAGGACTGTCATTTTGCTGTCAAAACGCATTTATAATGTAGTAGATCAAACCAACAAACTATTGTACATAAGTTGACAGATCTCATCACTTGCTATAGTCGAAAAGTCATATGATCAAATAGTTTCTGCGAAAATTATTTAAATTTTAATAAAAATAAAATGTTGAAATATCTTGTAATTTTTCCATTTCTGTTATTAACAGGTAAGAATAAAACAAATCTTTTAATAATTTTATATTTCGCAGTGATAACTTAGAGAAAATATCAACGTCTAGTATGTATACCAAAATTGAAAATAAAATCAATACAATTTTATAATTTTGTATTACAACTTATTTTCCTGTAGTTCAAGCAGCTGGAACTTTTTCTGTATTAGAACATCCAAATTCACTACTTTTTAAAGGAAATGATCGTCTGGACTCAAATTATATAGGAGATGTTTTAGGCGCTTCTTTAGGTCTCTATATAGATGCAGACACGAAATGGAGCGGTCTCTTTATTGATAATCCGTTTGAATTTCCAAAAGGTGTAATAAATGTTATGGTTGAAGGAGTTAAGGGAATCAATTTAAGTCAAAAAGCAAAAACTTTTCCGTTGACGGGGGGAGATTCTATAGACTCACTGAATACAATATCATCGACGGTTGAAGCCTTGAACTCTCCAACAATAAACGTAGATTTAAATAGGGGATTAGATTCTGTAAGTTGTTGAAATTATTTTGATAAGCTTTTATATAAGAATACAAAAATTTCAGCTCCTTACATATACGGATGTCTTAGGAAATTTACAAATACCCACAACTGCAAAGTACGTAGGAAATTTAAAACCAGAAACTTATCCGGAAGATAAATTATTTTTGCAACAAATTGCTGCTATTAAAGCTTTGTCAAATAAATTATCAGACATACAAAATAAACCAACGCTTATTAATATTCGTTTGTCCTTAAAGTCAATAATTGAAGCACACGGACCTAAGTCACCAGCCGTTGCTGAAGCATTGAAACTTATTTCCAAAACTGTTGAAGATTTTAGTGAAAAATCTAATAAAGCTTATGGGGGACAATTGTTGTTTACAGTAACAACTGATGATAGCGCAGAAGTTTCTTCCAGACAGAAACGTCAAACACAAAAAGCCAATGATTTCAAAAAGGTTAAACTATTATAAATATAAAATTTGTAATTCAAATAATAATGAACAATTTTGTTTTAGGAGTTAAACCTTGCTGAATATTATAAAGAGGATTACCCAGTGATTTTCAATATTATTCTATGGTTTATGGTTGTATTTGTTTTTGCATTACTAGCAATTTCTTATGTAATTGGCACAATGGATCCAGGCAGAGATTCAATCATTTATCGCATGACATCTACTAGAATGAAAAAAGACAACTAAACACAAATAAAATATTAAAATTCCAAAAATTATGAATCATCAATTGTATCATAATACATATTAGTAAACCTTTTTTTTTAAATTATTTTGTTATTCGTTTTCAGTTCATATTTCAAAAATTACCTATAACTTGAGCGCGTTAAATAAAATTTTGAAAGAAAAATAACTTAACAAAATATAAAGTAAGGCAAATATTTAAATAATTGTGAATAGTTTTTTAATATGGTATGAAAATATGTATAAAAAATGTGTAAAATTTTATCAGTTTTCTCATGAAATTTTTTGATAAGATGTTATCAAAGAACTTTAAATGAACTCACCTAATTGAGAAAATGTGTATATAGAAATACTATGTAATTTGTTGTATTATAATTTTAAATAAATAGCATTAGCTTAATTTCATTCAAGTTATTTTGAATTCGTAACTCCAATAGTTTTATTAAAATGAAGTCATGTGGTCAGTAATATGTACAAAGGTGTTACAAATGAAGACAAACAAATTATACACATACCTACATAAATAAATTGTAACATTGAACGAAATATTCTGGTATCTGGTCTCGTAATTGACAAAAATAAAACAATTTCATGTGGTTAATTTAAAAATTGATTTATTTTTCATAAAATTTTCAATAAAATTCTAAATATATACTTTCGCTATGTCGGCAGTTTGTTAAAAAATTAATACAAAATTTTTACCTAATAAAAAATATTTAATATTGATTAGCTGCAACATGAAACTTATAATTAAAAACAGTAATTGACATAAAATATACGCACACTGAAAAAAATTAAGCGTAAATTAATTTTGCTATTTTTTTTTAATTTAGTAAAACTTATAACGAATATTACATAAAAATTATTTTTTCGAGTGAAATACATTATAAAATGTGCTAATTTATGTAAGGCAACTTTCTTTTTACTTATGTATATTCAACAAGGCACTTAAAAGGAAGTTTATTTAAAAAAAAAAATATAGTCATTTAATATTGAAGTTAGTAGTATAAACTATTGGCTATAATTATAAATTTATTTAATAGATATTAAATTTAATTAATATCTGAGGCACATTTTATTTTATCTGCAAGTATTTTAAAAAAAAATACATGTTTCTAATTAAACTGGATTCTTTTTCATTGTGTTTTCATGAGCTACACGTAGACGACGTCTTAGTTCACTCGGAAATTTCTCGTAACATTTTTTGCAAACTGGTTTCTCATCATATTCGTAAAATTTGGATTTTTGATTCATCTTTGTATCGCAAACAGAACAGGCAAAATGATGAACGCACCATGCTTTGTTTAAAGCAGTAAATACTATTTGAAAAATATTTTAAATACGTAAAGAAAAGAATAATAGATTAATATATTTTACCATCTCCCGCTATAACTTGATTGCATACAAAACAAAGATTGCCGAATAGTTGATGATAATGTGTTTCACAATAGGCCAGGCCACGTTTTTCATAGTGGCGATGACCCAGAAACGGTTTCTCACATTTTGCACATACAAAATGCTCTACATGCCAATGTTTTCCAAGTGCAGTAACCACGCGTTCTTCAATAGGACGGCGACACGCACCACAAATTGGTATTCCCATTTTATCATGACATCTCAAACAATATAATTCATTCTAAAATTTTTATAAATTCAATTTAAATTGAAAGTTATAAAAAAAGTTTCTATATTTATACCATATCGTTAGCTGCAAATCCCGGTCGACTCTTGACTTCCCGGGCAGTTGAATCTAACTCTACTGCACAATTAGCACAATTAAAATGATAACCATGATAAACCTCTCCTCGAAATCTTAATGGTTCATCATCGATCAAACCACTAAAAAATTTGTTTTATCAAATAAACTTTGTTTTTCTCTAAGAGAAAATGAGTTCTTACTGGCATTTTTGACAAACATATTTTCCTGTTCCAACAGCTTTTACTGCGGCGTTGCATTCATGGCAAAGTGCGCGATTCTATATGCATATTAAAAATAAATCCAGTTTAATGTATTTTTTAATATAAAAAAAATAACTAATGCGGTAACGAACCTGATTTCTGATAAATCCAGCATCAGCCAATTCTTTTCCACACATTTGACAACGGAAACAATGTGGATGCCAGTTAGCTGCCATTGCTTTGATGACTCTCCCAATAACAAATTCTCCGCATTTATTGCAGCACGGTGCAAAAAGTACATGAAAGTCCCTTTCACAGTATTTCCTACCTTCAAACTCATAAAAAATACCATCTTGAAACGGTCGAAAACATTGCGCGCACCTATTTTTTTGTAAACAAAAGTTTTAAAAGTAATATTGGTAATTTAATAAAAGTTTACACAAAACATTGGGTATGCCAAAGTTCTCCGTTAGAATTAACAATTTTTTCGTTGGCTTCAAAACCATCAGCGCATCGAGTGCACCGCATATTCCCTAGAGACATTTTCGCAATATCTTCAACACTAAAAAAATGCAAACAAAATATATTACATTAACAGGAAAAAACTACAAGCATAAAGTGAAAAATATTAGATTATTGTAAATAATGGATATATGTAGTAAATGGATGTTAAAGGATTTGAAGCTTAAAACCAAAGCAAAGTTCACTTTAAGATGAAATAAGCTAGAGCAAAACAAAAATTTCCTAGAAAAGCTATTTCTCACGTCGTAGGTATATTAATGAATAATAGTGACAGAAAACAAACCCACGCATATATGGAAATGTACATATATATTGCATGATATTAAAATACAAATTTAAATTTTAATAACTGATATACTAATGCTTACTCCGTTATTGGTGCCATTCTTTTTTCTTAAAGAATTCTTCAAACCAGACACCTTATAATTTAACAAAAAAAAGAAACAATAGCTTAATAGGGAAACCAAATAACGATTAGAATGTCCACAGGTCCACACCTTAATAAACTTTCAATTTATATACATTCAATACTTTCTAGAAAATATATGTACAAATTATATTATTATAAATAAGCCATACCTTTCCTAAATTTAAGACCCAATTTCTTTATTTTTTTAAGCAATACGCAAATTTTAAAAATTTATTTCCAACCTTCTCTCCAAAAAAAAAAATGAAATCAAAAACTAAAAGCGAAATTATTACGTCATTTTAAATGTCATAATTGTGGCTATTTAGATTCTGTTTTGAAGAATATTTTGACTGGAGATATGTAATTCACAATATCGTTCTCAATGACACTAGCAATTTCTTTTAAAGCATCTATTGGAATATTTGAAAAATACATGAGGTGATGTTTTGAAATATTATTTAATTTGAAAATAGAATGAAACTAAGGTAAATTATTAAATTATTATTTAATAAAGCAAGGAATTTGTCAAATTTTATTCAAGAACATTCTCCTTTTTAAAAAGCATGTAGTTTCTAAATATATTTTTGCTAAAGTGCATAAAATGAACACTAAAATGTAGAGCAAATAATATTTTTTTATACTTTCACAAGGTGTTTATCAAAGTAGTAATATTTACTTAATAATTTAGTAAACACTATCTGCAAATTTTACTGTTAGCTTTCGTTATATTAAAATTTATTTCAATTAACTTTGATAAACTCTTAGGCGATGTTTATGAATGTTCAATATTTCAATATCTGTTAAAAACTCAGACAAAAAAGGATTAGATAAGATACGTTGAGGGAAGTTATACACGAAAAAAACAATTTTCTCTATATGAAAAAATGAATGCGAATTAGTAGAGCTAATGATCGGAGTATGCAGTACATGCAATTACCGAATTTTTTTTAGCGCGGCATACCCGGTGATATAAAAATATTAATGTTTGAAATATAAAACGTAAACAATGCCATTAATTGTTTATTTCAAACACAGCACGCTTGAATAGGAAATTCGAATTTAGGTTGCTTTAGAGTAAATTTAATATGGTAGGTTTCCACTAAGCAAACAGTATTTTTACGCAATTAAGAATATTAACGAAGACGTAACGTATTAAATTTCTTTTTATTTAGAAAAAAACTGCTGAAAATGTATCAAATATATGCGTATATTTTTGCTTCAGCTTTCAGTCAAAAGTAAAATTTATTTTTTAACTCAAAAAATAGGATTATGAACTTTAGTAGTTTCAGTTTCTCAAATATTGGAACACATCACTAATCCAAAAAATGTAATGTCAACGTCATAATCATATTTACACTGTTCTGTTGAAGTCAGATATTAATGTTTTATATACATTAAAAATAATTAAGAATTTTCATGTTTTTCATTATGCAACTATATTACATGCAGTTATAATGCACAATTTAAGCAGTTATGTTCAGTAATAAACATCAACATCAAGCTTACTCATGAATTAGCAAGCTTATTTTCATGAATTTTCTTCTTTATATATAATAAACAGGTCATATGAAAGTACGATCACATTTATTTATACGATAACAAAAAAATATATAAAGCTAATGTCAAATTATAAGGAACAACCAATTGCAGAGTAGAACGGTTTGTTTTTGTATGAACACGCAATAAATCTATAATTGGCGTAAACTTGAAGTATTCACAAAGATATGTCAGTATAAACAAACACATCCCTGACATTTAGGAAAACTCAAAACCCCTCTTAAAATATACCACTTCTCTTACAGCATCTGCGGCGAAGAATAAAAGTTGCGAGAAATTTCATTCAAGCTTTCTAATATCAAATAAATTGATATTTTTTACTTAAAATGATTTAAATAAATTATAAAAATTTCCTACAAGTTTAAAATCAATAATTTAAATAGGAAGTATTATCAGTATGGCCCCATGTAAGTATAAAACTTTAAGTATTTCATCGTGGTTTTTTCCTTATTCAGAAAGGGGTTATAAATGTTTGTAAGCGAATTTTATGGGAGCCGTCAAACACCGGCGAAATTGTCTCAACCAAAAATTTGCTAATATTTTTAAAAAACAATTGCATATTTTAATGATCAACAATGTTTTCACTTTTGTTTTAGTGAACAAAAATTCAAAAAACAAGGCTAGATTGCCGAAAATGACAACACAAACATTACTGGATTTTGATTTAGGAGAAAGCTCATCTGATAGTGATTTTCGTATTGAGGATCATGACGACGATAGCGATGATGATTTTTCAGTCAATTCAAATGATAGTGATGGCGACATGGATGATGATGATGACGATGATGAGGAAAATGATACGGATTCAGATGACAGCGATAGTAATAAAGAAACAGCAAAGGCGATAGAAAAAATAGGATTGACTTCAACAAAAATGGAAGAGAATTCGAATGTTAAAGATATAATTTCCAAAACATTGGCTGGAGAAAATACGGTTTCTAATTTAAAGATTGACGTAAGAAATAATATTTTCGTGATATTTTATTTTAGGATTTATTTTAAATTTGATCACTTTTAGCTTTCGAAAAATTTAATATGTTGCGCATGCCTTGGTGATCGATCCGATGATTCTAATGAAATTGTCGAATGTGATGGTTGTGGAGTTTCTGTACATGAAGGTTGTTACGGAATTAGTGATACAGCATCGATATCTTCAACAAATTCTTCATGTTCAACTGAGCCCTGGTTTTGCGAGGCATGTAAAGCTGGTGTTATAGAGCCAAGTTGTGAGTTATGCCCTGGGAAAGGTGGCATTTTTAAGGAAACAGAAGTCGGGCGTTGGGTTCATTTAATATGCGCACTCTATGTTCCAGGAGTTGCATTTGGTGAAGTAGACCATTTATCTTCAGTAACATTATTTGAAATGCAGTATAGTAAATGGGGAGCAAAGCAGTGTACTTTATGCGAAGACGATCGGTATGCCAGAACTGGAGTTTGCATTGGCTGTGATGCAGGGATGTGTAAAACATTTTTTCATGTGACATGGTAAATTTTCTTTTGAAATTTTGTTTCTAAGTTTCAATTTCTTATTTCACAGTGCTCAAGCGGCTGGTTTTTTGTCAGAACCACATTCTGATGAAGCAGATCACGCTGATCCATTTTACGCCCATTGCAAGGTTCACTCCGACAAAACTATGATTAAACATAGGAAAAGAAATTACAACTTAATGAAATTAAGAATGCAGCAAATAAGGTATGAGAAAGAAGAACATAGTAATGAAAAGCAGACACCAGAGCAGATAAGAATTCAAAGAAAATTAGTTAAACATCAAAATAAATATAAAGGTCACAAAGAAACAAAAAATGATCCATGGGGTATGCTATGTTACACATATTTTTTCGAAATTTTGCACACTAAAATTTTTCTGAATTGATTTTCTTTTAGTTCCAACCCAAAAAATTCCTAGATTATTAACAACCAGTGCTACGGCAGTTCGTCGTTTGCATGCAAAAGCAGCAGTTATGGGAATCGACACCGAGCTTTTAGAATTTCAAGAAGCACAGGTTATATTCCAATTTATAATTTTTTGTCACAAAATTTATGCAATGAATTTTAGGTGGCTGCGATAACTGACGTACGTAAAAAATGGCACGTTCCACCTGCATTTAGTGTGGAATTCGTTGCCTATTATTTGGATCGAATTAGTCGAACGAAAGAACTAAAGTTGACTTTAGAGAAAAACGTTGATGACAATAAAAAATTGTTAATAGATCAAGCTCATTTTAGGGAAGAATATGATAAAAAAATAAAAATTAATGCTGAACTTTTGGAATCAAACGTTAAATTAAAAAGTATTATAGAAGAAATGCACAAGCAAATATCCCTTTTATGTCCAAACAAACAACTACAATCAATTGATAATATTGGACGTCCAATTCAGCAACCTCTGCAGTGTGGAAATTCAACTCAGATTCCTCATATTACTACAACGGCTGTTGCAATTCCCAGAACAATGACTGTCCCAACAGCAGCTGCTCGCAAAATGGGTGTAGGCTTTCCCTTGAACAATTTACCTGGCGACAAGAGAAATGATACCAATCGAGTTCTCAGTACGCAAATTCAGAATAAAAACCAATTAGTGCACAATTGTGGAATTTGCAAGGGATGTCATGATCAACATTTATTAGCTAAATGTGATACGTGTCATTTACATTACCATTTAGGTTGCTTAAATCCACCATTAACACGGCATCCTAAAAAATCCAAACTTTATGGATGGCAATGTTCAGAATGTGATAAGTCAGATGATTCTGACGTCATAGTGGAACTACCACCAGGTCCTCGTCGATCGCGTACAAAATTTAGTAAGGATGGTAAAATTGTACCAGCCGATGGAAATTCAAGTTTAAATTCCTTAGAAGAAGATAGTATTACAAATAACATTGATAAGCCGCAAGCAATTCAAACAACAAAGAGAAAATCTACCGATAGACGTTCCTCAATAACACAACCTCTATCTCCCAAAATGGCTTCAATAGCAACTGGGGGCGAAGTAGCTAAAGCAATTAAAAAATCTGAGAAAATTGATTTGAAGCCGATAGTATATAATGGTCAAATACGTTCTCCTAAAGAAGCTACTCCACCAAAAAGCCCTAAGAAATCAAATACGAAAACGGCGAGCATTGGTAACCGAAAAGATTCAAGTCAGAGCCCTTCAAAAATTGTAAATTATTCAGTTACTGAAAAAAGTGGTGACATATCTATAGAAAAACGTAACAACTCAATTGGAGCAAATCAGCAAAATAAAATAGAAATATCCGCAAAGAAGGCGAAAAAGCATTTAGGAATTTCTAAAAGTCCTCCGCCAGTGACAACATCATCTTTAACAATAACAACTACAAAAGTTAGACCTTCATCATCAGGTTCAATTCCAATCAAAGCTATTTTTGATCCATTATCTTTAGATAATGAGTCTCCATTGGCTGAAAATGTCGTTATTAAGCCGATTAGAACTCCAAAACGTAAAAAAGACAACGAAGAAGATGTTGATCCCTTACAAATTAGCCCTAATAAATTAAATTGTAATGTAAATTTAAATATAAGTAATAATGAAAATATCGTGTTAAATGATGACCAGAGTAACGTTGTTATTATTAATGATGGCACTGTTGGAGGTTATGATGTCGTGGAGAATAGTGATAATATAAGTCATAAAATAAATCGTAAAAAAAGAAAAGAAAAACATAAAAATAGGTGTTATTCGGACAGTGATAAATCACCAAGCAAAGAACATAAACGAAAACGGAAGAAGAAGAATCATGATAACGAAAACCCCAAAGATTTGTCATCATCAACGTCATCTGTACCGAAAATCAAAATTAAGGTGAGATTGAATTTATTGTTTCTTCTTTAATAAATGATTTTTATTTATTTAGAAGCATAATTTTGTAGTTTTTCATAAGAATTGTGGTGATATGTATATATAGCTAATTAGAAAATTTTGGTTTTGGATAGTTTTTTTTTAATCCAATTTAATTTTCTATTCAATTTTATTGCATTGTTCGAATATTTTTGTTTATGAGTAGATTTGATGAAGCAATACATTCCAAGGAAGTTTTATTTTTTTCCTTTAGCACTTAATTAAATTTTTGTATTATTGTAAAATATTTTTTTAACACTTAGAGAAAAATTACTAAAACGTGGAGCTGCTTTGCATGGCTTTATATTCATTGGTTTTGAACATATTTTAATCCTATTTTGGTTCTTATGACTGTCCAAGGATGGTCGATTTATATTTTTTTTTGTTTAAATTTATGCACATAGTGAGTTCATAAAATATCTTTGTTTTCTCATTTACATTGCCTTAGTTTGAATTTTGAATTTCATTTTGTTTGTTAATTTGAATTTATATGTGTTTGGTATTTATTTTATATATTTTTTTTAACTTAAACGGCACAAACATTAAATAGTTTGATTATATATTTTTCTTAGATATTTTTTTGTGGCATCAATATATTAGTTTGCATATTTTGTATATAATGTCGAAATTGTTTTATATTTAGCTCTAATTCGCAACGTTCTTCTTAATCATTTTCACTTCATATTATTTACCATAACAATTTCTTTTAGTTCGTATTTTATTTACTTTTCTTTTTCTCTTTAACTTAAACATCTCATTAAATTTAATAAAGAAGAAATAATTAGTAAAACAAAAATCTAATTAAAATCGTATTTCTATGACACATTCCAAATAGTTTAAAACTCTTCCATTGCCTGGTGAGACAGCTCCTGAGCCACAATTTTTTTATGTTTCGGCGGATATGGTCCGTCCAACGGATGCATCATCACGACCTACATCGGTTGAAACAGTTGAAGAAATGGCAACGACAATAAATAATGTGAATGTCAAATAAATTTTGAACAAAATATTAAAAAAATATCTATAAATAAAAATATAAATGAACGTATTTTTTAATATTTTAGGATAATGAAACAAAACTGAATAATCCAAATATGCCAACAACATCAACACCACTAGGAACACCAGCAAATTTAAATGCTAACAATACAGGTCTTGGTGACCTTTGTGAAGGAAATTCACCCACTAAACGTACACCGAAACCAATTAATAGAGATATTCCAAAATCGTTAGCTATACCAGCCAAACAAACAGCATCTAGTCCAAAAAGAACAAAAAAATCAAGAATGTCAACTAATTCAAATATTTCAACTAGTAACACTAGTGTCAGTTCACAATTGCTAACATCGACATGCAGCCTTAATTGTACTACTTGTCAGTTAATTGGTACTATACAGAATAGTGTACAGTAAGTTTACCACTTTCAATTTAGCATAAATAATTTTTGAAATTTGATAACATTTTTATTTTGTAGATGTGATGAATGTTATAAAGTCTATCACTTTTCTTGTTTGGACCCACCAGTGAAGAAAACCCCAAAAAGACGCGGTTATTCATGGCATTGTGCAGATTGTGATCCTACGGTATGTATTTAATTTTTATTTAATTAAAAATTATCAATTAAAATATTTTTTTTCATTATATTTTGCTCTTTTAGGACCATGAAGGATCATAATTTTACAGTTTCGAAAAATATAAATTGAAGGCAAATTTCTGAAAATATATGCTAATAATTTGCTATAATTCCATTATTTAGCAAATTACTAAATTTTCGTTAATTAATAGTTTAATAAAAATCTTTAATTTTGTAGTTTATAAGAAATATCAGTTTTATTTCATAATGAATGAAGCCCAAATTAAAAGTTTTGTATTTAAAAATTGTAATTAAAATAAATTTTTGTCTTAAGGTATAGTTACGGAAAAGAAAACAAAAATTATAAATTTGTAATATATTATGATTTTTCTGTAAATTTAAATAAAATCTAAGAATTTTTTCTTAGGAATTTCCTTTTAGATATTAAAAATTAAAAAAAGAAAAAAATTATTTATTTTATATTAAAATTTCTTTATATGTACTCCTAAATCCTTGGTGTTCTCATGTTTTTTTTAGTTTCAATGCATAAAAAGTTATTTTTATAATGTAGTTTAAAAAATTATTTTTTAGTTTTTAAATTAAAAGAAAATATTCTAAAAAATATTTTTAAATGTAAAAATTTAAGAAAATACAAAAAAATGTAAAATATAAAATACTCGTTTCAATATTTTAAAAAACATTTGGTTTTAATATTTATTTCCCAATAAACATGTTATAAAATTAATTAAGAAATAAATAAGAAACGGCGTGGATCATAATTAATTATGTTCAAATTTCAAGTTTGATTGTATTCAAACTTTAAATATCATCCCCCATTTCGTCGTCATCCAAATTTAAATCATCTAACATTTCCGCTAAAGTAATTCGTGGAATGTTATCGGAAGGATGATCGAATTCATCTATTGGAATTTGTTTCCTGTCCTTATATATATTAACATTCTGTCGCATGTCAGCATCCTCTTCCAGATCTTCCAGAAATTCTTCATAATCACTGAAATAAAATATTATTGCAACTTTAATTAAAACCCCTTATTTGTCAACTTAACTGTTTTCGTTTGTCTTCCTCATTAGAGATATGTTTTAATTTCCAATTTCTGGATTTGTTTCTTCTTTCGCGATCTCCATAACTTTTTTTAACTAAAATAACATCTGGTATTTGATCCTTGTTTAATTTTTCAAATTTATCATTATTTATGTTTGCATCCTCTAGGTTATAACCAAATACATTATCTCCAACTTTTAAAAGATGACCTAAATGTGTTTTTGTATGAATAGTATTATCATTGATTCCCAATTCGGAAGATTTAACCAGCCATATATCACATAAGACATGCTTATTAGAAATAGTTCCTTGTCCTGGGAAAAATTTTCTATCTTTATCAAAAATTATTTCAATGTCCATTACGGTGTACTCAGTTAAACGGTTTGGATTACATATAGCTTCGAAAGGTGATCTATTATAGTTGATACCACTAACTTCAGCAACTAAAATATATTTTAAAGTTTTACAGTATTCCTTGAGTGTAGTTTTTATAGAACTATGATAAGTCTAATATTTTAGTATTACAAAATCTATAATTCTTACTTACTCTGAGCGGTCAATGGATCTATTAAGTGAATAGTTTTTGCTACACGATGAATTAAACACAAAGGAGAGATACCCCCGAACTGCCTTTGTTGAGTTTTATCTAAGCAAACTAAGCTGTCTTTACTTAAAGGTGGGATTTCAACAGATATAGTGTGCTTGCAATTATGAATATTACTTTTGATATCGTGAGATATTAATCTTTTTGAGTTTGTTACTTTAACAGGTAGAGCATTCGAAAGAAATTCGACCATTTTCCTTGCATGAACTTCGCTCGCATAAAAGAAATCTATTCCACCATGCTGTGATTTTATTCCTAAAGTATTATCATGTGCTTTTCTCTTTAATATCAATTGCTCCAAATAATACAAAGTTTTCTTATTCTCGGAACGTTGGCGTACTTGAACAAGATATTTCCAAAAATCTTTTGCTTCGCTCCGGTGACAATCATTGCACATATGATTTGTAACAGTATATTCAACAATAAAAACCTGTTGTAAAGTAGTACCGCTCAAAACTTCAGCGTTTACTGTCAACTTAACTTTAATACGTTTTGAGTTAGGATCTGTCCATATAAAACCAGCGTCGACCAATTTCACGTCTTTAAGCCCTTTTAGTCGTTTGACACATATAGCCAAAAGTTCGCGTGATTCTAAACCACATTGCACCCAATCATCTGGCGGTTGCAAATACCTTTCACAATTACGACAAAACTGCAATACCGCTGATTTAGGGATATTTTCTGTGATGTCTACATGATTACGAATGCATGTCACACACATATTGGCTGAGTTGGGCTCTATTTTAATCCCACATTCACAGCAAAGACTAAAAATTTAAGATTTTATGTCGATATATTTATATAAAACCTTAATTCTAATATTAATGCAATTATTTTATGACTCACATTTGCCTAATGTTATTTCCTTCATTTTTTATACCTGCTCCAAAATTTACATATTCCATATTTATTTACAAAATATTTCACAAGATGAAAAATAAAAATGTGGTGATTGTAGGAACTTAGTGGTGGCCGATATATATAAATAACCTGCACTATCGATAGCTTCGAAATTAGTTATCGATATTTTCGCAACTGACACATAATAAGAATTGAATTGTTTCAAATTTAGACTTCGTCGCAAAATTTTTCGTCATTAAGAAATAAAATGCAACAAAATACTATGTCTGCCTGGCATAAACTTGGAAAATTTTTAAAAAGAGATAAATGTAACGTCAATTGTCCCAAAGAAAAAAAATGTCATTTAAAAAAAAATTAACCAGACGGTAAAGTTAAAGTTGAAAAAATTTTATAAAATAGGTTAAAAAACGTCAAAAATCAAAATATCTGTCAAACTTACACAAATATATTTTAGTTATAAAAAAGGCGAAAATTTCGATTTTGGTTTATAAAAGAGTGAAATTTAGGAAAAACAAACATGTGTAACAAAGAATAAATTTCCAGAATAAATGCAATTGTTGCCATTTGATCCAGCAAAAAAGTTATTTTTAAAATGAAAATCCAGAAAAAAAGTAGTTTTGGAAAATAAAACCTTCAGGCATAATAAAGAAAAACATATGCGTTGACAGCCTTTAAAACGTTTGCAAAAAAATTTCAATGTAGCATAGTTTTAACATTTTATACTTTAAAGTTAAAATAACGGCGTCTCAATATTTATCAAAATTTAATTGAATTTTTTTTGATTTTTGTTTTGTGATCTACAAATATTCTTGAAAATCTTTTAGAAAGGGCTCATTTTAAATTTTTTTTTGCATGTTTTTGGGAAAGCGTAAAATTGTAACTATAGGTTCAGTAAGCAATTTGGAATTTATTAAAATAAATATTTTAATAACCTTAAATATATTCGTGAAACATATATTTCAATTAATTTGGCCAAGAATAATTTTGACAATCTAATTTAATTAGAGATTTGAAAGGTCTTGATAGCATTTACATTTTTAAAGAATTGAAAACTTTACATAAATTTATATTTTGAAGTTTTTAACTACCTTTCTTTCCAAAAGTTTTAGCAAACTTTTCGCGGTTGCCGCCATTCGTACTTTAATATTGGCATAGAATAAAAAAACTAATGAATTTTTTTTCAAATAGTAACTATGTAGTTAGCAGCATATTTATTGCAATGTAATTAAATAAAGTATATCTTACTCACATCCACATTTTCGTGTTTTCGTATTCTCACGCTGAAGATCCAATGCATTTTACTGCTTTTATTAAACAAAAATTTTTGACGGAAATCTATCAAACGTTTGTGTGTATGTGTCTTTGTCTAGTGAAATTGTAATTTTAGAATGGTTACAACATGTACAAAATGCTACAATACTTGTCAAATCTTTTAATATTCAAAATGTTATGGCAATGCCGTCATTTGTTTTTCGAGTAACATAATTATAATATGTCATATTAATAATTTGTACAGGTTCTTTGTGAAATTTATTGACTCGTTTCTTTTCAGTTGATTTAAAAAAAAAAAACGATATTTAGCATAAGAGGGACCCCAATATTCTAATTTTATAAATATTCTAATAATGATTTATAGATGCTCTATGTAAGCTATAATTACAATTTATATAAATGATAAATTCTAAAACTAGCTGATTTTATAAGTTGTGTATGGAATTTTCAAATTACGATAACAAAGAGCCTTATTCTAGTTGTCGCGTCACTTACGTGACATTTGTCGTTGTCGCTGTCACATCATTTGAAATGTGGTATTCTGGTTTTCGAGTGACGTGAGTGCGAGAAATAATCGAAAATGAAACGTTTCAAGTGAAATTGATACATTTTAAAAAGAAATTTCGGCGAGTAAAGTTCAAACTAAAAAAAATTTTCAGTGTATATATTTATATTTTTAAATACTAAAAAATGTCATTTGCATTATGGTTTATGAATTCATCTCATTCCGGTAGTGATGAAATTAAAAAAAACAACAATTAAGGATCGAAAGATTTAAGATTAGCGACAGCTCTAATCGAGGGAAAAACAAGTACCCGTTCACGCTAAAAACAAAAATTAAATTATATATTTTCTGACTTGATTTATGTATAAAATTAATTTTTTTATGATTTTGTTAAATTCTTTTGTTTTAACTTGCATTTTTGGTGTATCCTTCTTTCTTGTCACTTGTAAATACTTTTCGACAAAAAACGTCGTTTCACTACGACATATCTCGCATCAGAACGACAATTGGAATATGGCTGAGACACATTTTCCCGCTATTCCCCGACGATTGTCACTGCGATCGCCGTTTAGAATATCAAATTCAAGTCGTAACGACAATTGTCGCTCTACTTCGACAACTAGAATAAGGCTCAAAATATAATACATAATCCGTATCTGATTTAATTGGAAGTATTTCAGACATCATTTCATAATTGTGGAGTATGAACGTAATTGTACTTAAGCGTGTACATATTTATACCTACGAGTTGCAATAAGAGAAATTCTGAAGTTTCGACAAAAGATTTAATCAGATTAAGATCGGAGCTTTTTTATGATGCAAATGTGGTCTGACAGAGTCAATTTTTTAAATTAAGATTTAAGTAAAACAAAATTTTCTTTTAACAACAGCTTTATAATATAATGTATGTATATTTTCATTTTTTTTTTTGGTTTTTATATTGTTTTACCGATAAATACAATTATTTTTGTGATGATAATTTATAAATGATTCTTATTTAAAATTAAAACACATTTTTTGCCTTTTTTTATTTTTTTTTTAATATGTTTGTATATATGTATATTTAATAATGTAAAACGAAAATTGTGATTATTTTTTTTTTGTTTTTAAGTTTTTGTATTTTTATTGTTTTTAAAGCAAAAAATATCGATTTCTTTTGTTTCTCTTAAATAAATTTATTATATAAATATTTTGGGTGGTTAATTTTTGTTTTTTTTTTGTAATGTGAATGCTATACATTAGAATGAATTTTTATATATTATGTATTTGATATTTTAAGCTATTAATTATATAATATTATATACACAACTTAAAAATGTATTCATGTATACTGTATAATTTAAATTTTATTGTTCATTAACGATAAACTAAAAAAGTAATAGTTAAACATAAAAATATTAACTCTAAATAAATTTAGGGACATTTAATTAAGGGTTTTGATTGGTTAAGTTATGATTTGTAAGCTATTTTTTAATTTTATTTGGTAGGAATCATAAACTACATTTATGTAAGAAACAATAATCAGTATTATTATTAACATAAATGTAGCTAGTTATATATGTACATTCTACATAAATTGTGCCAATATTCATACCTAATGCAATAAAATTTATATTTTTGTAAAATTATACTAGTCCCTGTGAAATGCATCATATAAAAATAAACAATAAATATAATCTAACCACATATGTAGTTAATTTACAATAAGAATTTTCCTAATACCACCTTGATTTTTCTAATACATACTTTGAAAAAATCCTTAGAAGTTTCTTGAATATAATTATGAAAATTTAATTTGAATTTTTCATTTTTATTATGGCAGTAATTGAATTTTTCATTTTTATTATGGAAGAAAATTTTAAATTATTCAAATTTAGCAATTTTCTATGAAATATGTTCTGTTTCCTATGTTAACAAAAAATTAAAACTATTTTTAATTAAACAGATTTTATTTAAAATATTAATTAATTGCAAAAAATAGTTTTAAAAATTTTGAATTCTTTACAAAATTACAAAATAATAATTTTTATTCAAAATTGCTACACTCAATTAAATTACATATTAATTATGTATATAGGGTAAATCAACTAATATTGTTACTTTAAAACCAAAAGAAAAATTTATTTCATTTTTTTTTTTTGCAAAAAATAAATATAAAATTTTCGTTGATTCTTTTTCAATAATTATTTAGTAAAATATTTTTGGTATAGGCCTATAATAACCCTTATAATTTTTATGTCAACAATTTATAAATTTAATAATAATTTTTATTTAAATATTATAATATTATACAATATAATGAAATATTGTAAATATATAGGTGCATAATATAATATTAACATATTCAATAAATGTTTTAATTTATCGTTAATGAAAATAATATGTATTTATATATAAATTAGCTAAAATTCCTTAAAATTATATTTATACATTTATATAAAATAGTGTCTCGGTATTCTTTATAATAATAATATTTTAATATATTATATAAGTGGTCACTTACACACTATATATGTAAATATATGAAATTGTATATTTGTACAAGTAAACTTTATATATTTTATATATATATTTACTTAAAATATATTTATATAATAAATAATAATAATAATATGTGTATTCGTATTAATTAGCTTTAACATTTTTAATTTTTTTTTTCATTTAATATTTGTTTTTTTTAATGTAATTTATGGGTGAATTTTTTATGCTTGAATTTAATGTGCAATTTGTTTTATAAATTTTTTATTTTTTCCTTGCTATTTACTTATTATAATATAAATGATCAATGTTTTTTTTTTTTTAATTTTTGACTAGAAAATAACTTTTGTTTCTTTTCAATGTAATTTTAAATTTATGCATATACTAAAATTAATAATATTCGTACAGTTCTTATTTTTCGTAACAATTTAATAATGATAATTATAATTAATTGTACAATAAAAACGGAGAAAAATTCACACTGCTGGGGGAAAAGAAAACAATGAATATTGAAATACATAATTTGTTTTTTTTTTTTTGATCGATTTATACGCATATACATATATGTATATTCAAAGTATGAATACTTTCCATTTAATTAAATTTTTAAATATATTTTTAATATAATAGAGAATTGACAAAAATAATTGAACATGAAGAAATTTTAAATAATTTCTAATATTTGCTTTTATTTATTTTAATTTTTTTAAGTTTTTTTTTTTTTAATTTCCGTTGTATATCCGTTTATATATAATGATATTTTTAAATTTAAAATTAATTTTTATTGTCGGAATAATAATGCTTTAGTTTAGAAATGTTTTAATTAAATTTACAAATTTTAGTAAAGTTATTTTCTTTCAAAATATCTTTTTCCTTGTGTTTTTCTTTGTTTTAATAATAATATTTTAAATTACAATAAATTACAGGTATAGAACGATAAAAAATTGCAATTAAATTAAATAAATATATATTTATGTAATTATA